TGAAAGTTTCTAAATATATCATAATTAAAAAACAAAAAATATATAAAGATTTCTTTTTATTTTATAAAAACTTTATAAAATATGATGTTATAACTATGATTCAAACTCAAAATCATTGAGGGTCCGTTTGGTATAAGGAATTGATGAAATTGGAATTGAATTGGAATTGTAATTCCATGAGATTCAATTCTGTCAATTTCAATTCATTTTTTGCACTATTAATTCCAAATCTACATAATTTTTGTGTTACCAAACACTAGAATTGGAATTGAAGTCCCCAATTCCAATTTCATAGTTTGAATTCCATGTACCAAACGAGGCCTGATATAATTTGTATTATTACAAAATGCATATCATGCAAATATTTCATTTGAGTTTTTTTAATATCGAGCAACTTATTTGAAAAAATTTGTTTCCGACCTCCTCTTTCTTGTTAAACTTAGGCTTCGATATTACATGTTATGATCACGGGTATATCCTCACCCAATATCATATTAGTATGATATTTTTTTGCTTGGACAAAGACCTTCATTGATTTATTTTTAGATATTTTTAAAAAAGATTTCATACTAATGATTTGGATTGAACTATCTGTATTAAATACGGAGTATTAGTTTATACTACCTCCGTCCCACTCTCTTTGTCCACTTTTGACTTTTGGAACTGTTCATCTAAGCAATTTGACTGATAAAATTCTCTCAATGTGTAAGCTTAAATATAGTCATGTGTGATCTTGTTTGATTTGTCTTAACATTTAGATTATTAATACTCCGTATATAATTTCTATAATTTTTTAATATACAAATTGTAAGATAAAATGGATTAAAAAAATGTATTGGATGGTGTACCAAAAAATATATGGACAAAGAGAGTGGGACGGAGAGAGTATTCCTACTTCTGCTGTGAAGGAGGTGGAATGCACCCCAACATTAAAAAAAACACCAAACTAAGGGTTAAAAGTGCCTAAGCCGCGGCGGCTACTTTAGCATAACAATATTACTCCGTATCAAATCTTTGGCCAAACACGACGCCGGCTATATTCCGCCAAAATGGCACATTATGAACCATATTCTTATCCCTTGTTGCTGATGCCCCAAACACAACATTCCTTTTGGGATGATTAATATTAGCTCACTCTCTGTCCAGTTTTAACTTTTTTTAGTGAATTATCTTCATCTTTTGACTTATAACTAAATAAAATATATATTATACTTTAATTATATAAAATAACATTTTAAAAATGTTTCATTTAATAAATCTAATAAAACTATTTTTGTATCAAAATATCATTTTTGTTTAATTTAATATCAAAGTTTATCAATTTTGACGAAAAAAGTCAAAAGTGGATAAATATTCAAGAATGAAGGGAGTATGACAGAAAATGAGTTATATAGAAAATCATTCTAATTTTTATCTTATTCGCAATAGGGATGTAAACAAATCAAATATTTTAAATTCGATTCGTGATTTGTATTCGAATATGATGATTCGAATTCACATTATTCAAATACAAATTCAAATTCTAATATTATTTTTGATTCGAATATTAAACAAATACAAATAAGAATATATTCGATTCAAATATATGTATATACACGCAGACCATGTTTTCAACATTAATAGTCAAACAAAGTAATATAGTATAAAGTGCATTTAAAATACTAAGAATTTGACATATTAACGTCACACAAAAATTTAAAGCATATGATTTTTCATAGTTATATTTTATAAAATATAATTTGTGTAAGATGCAAATGTATTAATGTTTTTAGATAAGAGGTATAGTATAGTATAAGGAGTATCGTAAGTTAAATTACAAATCGATGTTGGTTGATCATATGAATTACAAAGTATGATTATTGAAATATTCGTTTAGGATTCGTAAACTATTCGAATATTAATCAAATACATATTCAAATCTTATTTTAAATTCGTCTCATATTCGGATTCGGATTCAAAAAAATTAAACAAATACAAATTCAAATATTTTGTTATTTGCTTCGATTCGTTTACACCCCTAATTCGCAATAAAAATTATAAATACCTCGCTTTTTTGAGCTTAGAAAATATATTATCTAAAAATGACCCGGGTGCATGTGACACTTCTGTAGTAAAATTAATAATTTCTACCCCTACAATCCCTTCTTAAACTCCAACCCCCTCCTAAAATGCCCTTCAATCACCAGAGTGAAGTTAAGTTTCATTGTTCACTAGCTATATTTTCTTTGTCCATATTTAGATTACAAATTGGAATTCACAAGGTAAATACTCTTATTTTTTAAAGTTGTTTTATTTACAAACTGATATATCAATAACAAATAAAAATTATATATTAAAAATGATGTCAAAAATTTTACAAAACAAAAAGTGACAAAAATGTTCTAATTAATCAAATAATTAATAAAAAATATAAATAAACAAAATTATCAAGAGATAAAAGAAAAAAATTATAATCAATTTAAGAACGTAAGTGTTAGAGAAGGAAAAGGAATATTAGAATATTAGTCTTTGATTTGTATTAGACTTGTATATGGTAGCTTCCTTTTATTTAGCATTCCTAATCCTATTAGGAATACCTTGCTGTATATATATACTCCCCATTGTATTGTAAATAACCAAAAGAGAATACAATAGTTTTTCAGCCCAGAAACACTACTACGTAACATGGTATCGGAGCAAACCTAAAATACCTATTCCTTCGTGTGCTACAGCCGCACGTTACCATCCAGGATCATACGAACTACTTCGTTTTTTTCCTTTGACGGTGAACGATCTCCCTCCGGCGAACAGCAAGCATGGCAGGCGAGGCAACCCCAAAGGATCTGAAAGCATCACCGAAGAATCATGTGGACGAGAACGATGACGACATGGTGCAAAGACGTCGTCGCATATCGCCATATGATCTCTCACCCAGCGACAATCCGGGTATGCTTTTAACCCAGGTTGTTCTTAAGGGACCAAACTATGACGAATGGTCCAAATCCTTGCGCCTTGCCTTATGGGCTCGCAAGAAATTTGGATTTGTTGATCGATCAATAACGCAGCCGGATCCAGGCTCAGACGACTTGGATGATTGGTGGACCAATCATTCGCTTATAGTGTCATGGATACGCAACACGATTGAACCATCGTTGCGATCCACGATCTCTACGGGCGAGTCTGCATCTGATCTATGGGACGAACTGAAGGCATGTTTTTCGGTTGTGAACGGACCTCGCGTCCAACAACTGAAACGTGAAATATCTGAATGTAAACAAAAGGGACTTAGCATGATGGCATATTATGGCAAGTTGAAGAAATTATGGGACGACTTAGCCGACATCGACA